TACAAAAAATGTCATCTACATATCTTGCCCAATGTAGAGTTAAAGTTACTCTTATTAAAAGTTTTTTGAAACATCTAAAAGCGTGCTTTATTAAAATACTGATATACTTTTTGATATATTCAAAGCAGTGCCGGAAGTATTCATGTTTGTATGGCCAAAATAGGTGCTTTCTGGCTCTTCAATTATCGATATATATGTTCCTGCTGTTTAGTAATACGACGTCCTTTAACAAGCATCATGGTCTGGTCTTTTCTTCTATCAAAATAATTTTTTTTGATGGACGTGATTATTCATCTCGCACTGCTGGTCTGGTGCGGTCATAAATACGATATATTTTACCTTAGCGGGGCGCGGTTAAAAATTAAGTAAACTGAATAAAACAAAATCTGGTTTATTTTTATCATTAATAAAATTGTTTTTTCGATATGACGACAAAAAATATTGAAATAAAAAAATGCCCCTTTCATGCCCAGGGGCGCGGCTAAAAATCATTTTAAAAATCCCAAAAAAAATCACAAAGATTTTTCACCTACCACACAACTTTTTGTCTCTATAACATATCATATTTCGAAAAAAAAAAATTTCGCCCTTTTTCGCCCCGGCCTAATGTAGATAAGAATACAGTAATAATTTTAGTAAAATTATTTTACGTGGCGTGTAGTAAACCAATCCATTATGAGATTCATTTAGAATTAACTCATTACATATTATTTCCTGCATTTTTCCTTTTATTTACAGCTTGCCAAAAATAATTAGGTTACGTTAATCTGACTTAGATGATTCAGTAGCATATCTGATAATTTTGTTATTAAATAATTATTGTAACTTATCTATTTTTATTAGAAATACATTTTTTAAACAACTTAAATAACTAATGAGATTTATTAACAACTGAGTCTACTCTACTTTATATTTTTACAAGTTTTAAATAAAATTAGAATGACACTGATAAATCAATATTAATCTCCCATCGCGTTCCACTCAAGTTTGTTGATTTGCTTCTTCCTTAATCTTTTTATTCATAGAAGAGAACACAAATTTTTCACATTTTCTTAAGTACAACCGATGTATTTTGACAAACTGATAAATAGACACATCAAAAATACTGAGAATGTAATCTTTAAATTTGTGCTGTGGTTACAATTGTCCGAAAAACAGTTACAGGAAGTCTTGAAAATAAAATCTGAATCTTTTTTCGTGCAGGAATCAGCCCTAGTTTCGTCTTTCTCTGTCAGCCATCCGCAGGTTCTTGTTATCCTTTTATTCTCACCTTCCAGAACTACAAAAAAAAACAAGAAGAATGACTATAAAATCTATCATTTATTTTTACAAATTATATCAATATATTTCAACAGATACGTCTATTAAAAAACTTTAACGTGTTTTTTTTTTTATCTATTTTGTTTTCAGATAAAAATATAATATGATCCTAAAAAAAAACAGCGTCAGCGATGACTAAGAAGAAACTATATGGGGAATGTCATTGATCGTCATTTCCGAGCTAACTAAACGTCGTTTTTTTTCGATCATACATTATTTTTAATTTATAGCCATTAGAATTTTTTTAGAATTTAGAATGAGTGGGAGGGGGGTTAATCACTTCGACCTTACAGATCCATTGTGTCCCCCTTTCTTGAATCATAACTCATCATACAGTCCCAGGGCTTTGACAAAAAAAGCCAGTATCTGGGACGGTTTTATAGAGGGTAGTTCTCCATCTCCAATATCAGTCGTACCAAAATTCATGGCACGAATGGTTGTCGTCTCGGCGCACTCAGTGATGAGGTGTACTGGTGTTTCCCCATCTTTCCCACAGAATCTGCATTCGCCGTTTCTTCTTAGTTTCAATCTACTGAGGTGTCCATTGAGGAGACAGTGTCCTGTTAAAAACCCCGTGACAATCCGAAGATTGTTCTTACTCAGAAAGATCTGTGATTTTTCTTGATCATAAGCCCTCAGAAACTTCTTCGAGTGTCTTCGACCATTGCAAGATTTCCATTCCAGGTTGCGGATGGAATCTTCCAAGTTCTTGAGTCCGCCTTGAGTTGGTTACCACTTGGAAAGCAGAACGGTTCTGGTCCAGTTAGTGGAGTGTTCGCTCCTTTCCTAGCTAGATTATTTCCTTTTTCATTGCCTTCTATCCCTTGGTGAGCAGGCGCCCAGGGTAGGAGGACTTTGTTTTCTTTGCCTAATTTATTCAGCTTCTCTATGCATTCTTTGACCAATTTCGAATGGATTGATACTGAGTTGATCGCTTTTAACGCTGCTTGACTATCAGACAAGGTGGCTATTTCTTGTTTCCGATAGTTCCTATCTAAGATAAGTTGTATGCATCTTTCGATAGCGTAGATTTCTGCCTGTAGGATACTAGGGTAAGTGCCGATTGGTTCGGAGTATTTAGCTCTCGGCCCAAACACTCCGATCCCTGTTCCCGTATTGGTTTTGGAAGCATCAGTATACCAAGTTATGGTATGGTCTTTTAACTGCTGGGCAAGCGTTTCGCTCTTCCAATCCTTTTTATTGCTCAATACTACATGGAGATGTTTCTCAAAGTTGTACGTTCTTAGCATATCGTCCACTGGGAGTTGCAGGAGTGGTATTTCCTTTATGAGGGTGTTCCAAGCCCCTGATCTGACAATTCTCCCAGTACTAATTCCGTTAGTGACCATTCTAATCAATGTCGCATTGGCATATCTACCAATGACAATGTGCAGTGGTGTTAGATCTAGAATGACCTCCATTGCTGCTGTTGGACAGGTTCTCATGGCTCCTGTGATGCAAACGCATGTTAGTCTCTGGACTTTGCATAGGTTTAGCCTTGCCGTCCGTTGCTCTAGTTTTGTGTACCAGGCAACTGCTCCATAAGTATCATGGGTCTTACTATCATGTAGTATATATCCAGCGCAAAATTTATAGCCATACACAGGTATACTATTGATTTGCTTTTACACGCAACATGTACCAGATTCTACTTAATTTAAAAATTATAAGACATTTTCAGTTTAAAGATAAGGAAAAGTAGATTTTAAGTTACCTAAAGTTACTAATTTCCTACAAAAAGGTGTATGACCATTATAAACACCTTTACATTCTTTTAGGAAGGGACTAGAAGTGTCATTTGATTGGATGTCAGCGCATTTTGGATCTTCAGCTGAACTGCACTGAAAGCATTTTATGCTCAAACCTGAAACGCACAAAATCAAAAACACTCTGTAAATTTTCTTGGCAAAAATATGGTTTACCTGTTGGTATTAATGTGGCTAATACTATTGATACTGTCTGGAAGTTCAGCAACATTGTTGAATCTATAACAAAATAAAAATAAATTTAAAAAATAGAAAAAGTTAAAAAAAAACACGTTTTTTGTATTTAAATGACGTTTTTATGTTTGTTATAATTAATAATTAGTTTATATTAAAATATACACTTCAGACACAACATTTCTTGCTACAAAAACAGTGTTTTTCATTAGATAAAATCATCTTTAAATATACAGGGTTGTTCACAACATACGACACGGAGTATTGTAGCTAAATGATTAGATTTTTACAAATTGTAAGTTTTGGGTTCGTAGAAGGACTCTTAGAGCTACAATTTAAAAATATTTTTACTAGATACAGAGTGTCCCAAATAAGTAAGAAATATTATAGTTGTGTTTTTTTAAATGGAACACCCTATATATTATTCTATTTTTGGATTCTACGATTGAAATAAAGGTAAATTTGATTAAGGTTTATTACTTAAACCTTAACGTTTTGAATATTTTCAATTTTATGAATTGCAGTGTACCTTTAAGGTTCATTTGTCCAAAGAGGTATCAAAGTTTTAATACTAAATATTTACTGAATATTTATTGATCAGATATTGTGCTGCAATAATAAAAATTTTACTACATTATAGTGCGTGTCAAAAATTTATATGAAAAATAATTAGTAACTTAGTCCACCAATAACTCCTGTTTATTTAAATACACCCTATATATTTTGTCAATTGATGCACAATGTAATTAGTCTATAAATATTATACCATTTTTACCCATCTCTCCAAAGTTTTCGTAGAAAATACATTTTCTTATAATTTAGACCTGATTTATCACTATACCCATGGAATATTGACATTTGTACATGTACAAAATGTACAGGTGGTAAATATTCCAAGCCCACTGGCATACAAAAAAATAAATCTTTGTAAAAGAGTATACCAATTAAATATACCACCATTATTTCCGACCAAAAAATATAATGAATTTTTGATGAATAAGTTATGAAAATGAACGTCTCTGTTTTTATAAATAAGCATCCGTCAAAAAATGAAATAAAATGTATAAGGTGTTACTTTTTAACACACTGTCTAATACACACACAAAATTCAGTTTTTTAGTATTTGGAGCAATTATTATTACTCAATGCAAACAGTCAATTAATGTAGTTTGAATACTGGGATCATATTAATTGGTCCTCTTTAACAAAAAAATATTTAAACAGTTTTTTTTATTTTTTAATTAAATAAACGATCTTTATTGACAATATTAGTATCGGCAACCTTTGAAAATTTGTTACATCTTTAAAAATTTGTTACATCTTTAAAAATAAGCTAAAATGTCAATATTCCATGGGTATAGTGATAAATGATGTCTAAATTATAAGAAAATGCATTTTCTACGAAAACTTAAAGAGATGGGTAAAAAATGGTATAATACAATTTGATAGACAATTACATTGCGCAACCGATTCACGAAAAATATATAAGGTGTTTCATTTAAATTAAACAAGTTATTGCCGTTTAAAGCTAGTAATTATTTAATATAAATTTTTGGTCACTCTGTATAAGGTAGTAAAATTTGTATTATTGCAACACAATATCTGCTCAATAAATAATCTCCAGTAAATATTTAGTATTAAAAACTTTGATACTCTTGGAGAAATTAAGCCTTAAAATTTTTACTGCAATTTCATAAAATTGAAAATATTTCAAAAACGGTAAGGTATAAGTGTGATAAACCTTAATCAAATTAACCTTTATTTCAATCGTAGAATTCAAAAATTGAATAATATACAGGGTGTTCTATTTAAAAAAATACAACTATAATATATTTTACTTATTTCGGACACTCTGTATCTTGTAAAAATATTTTTAAATTGTAGCTCTAATAGTCCTTCAACGAACCCAAAACTTACAATTTGTAAAAATCTAATCGTTTAGCTACAATACTCCGTGTCGTATGTGGTGAACAACCCTGTATAACTTTTTTATTAAATCACAATATGAAATTTTGGCGAATGCGCCAGGCATCCATATAATAATGAATAATTTTTGGAACAAGGAATAACCGATGTCTCTCCCGGGTTTTCCCTTAAAACTATTAACATTACAACTCCAAAAGAGACATATTCTAAAAGAATATACAATTTTACACACGATAAGTATAGTTTCAGTAGTTTTACAACGAATATTATAGTTTTTTTAACGGGAAATATTAAACCGTGGGAGGAAATTTTTCATTACTGTCTCGAGATTTAGTTAATCTCTCGACATTAATGAGACACTCGGTATATACTTAAACTATATAAACACATTATTATACCTATAGGAATTGTTATATTTATTATCTGATAAATAGAACCTTTAAGAAATACTATTTTTATACCATTTTAAGTTAATATAATATTTCTTAAATATTTCTTCAGTTAGCAAAGCTATTTTTTATTTTCTAATAACATAAAAGAATGAAATGCAGCGTCTTATATCGCCTGACAGTCACACCTTAAATACTCGATCATTTTTATAGGTGTTCTACGTATTTGCTAATCCATATATCAAAAACCTGACATGGTGCACATGACGTATTAGAGCGTTGGGCTTATTTTTTTATTAGGAAATGACATCATTTGCTTTTTTAGGCCAAGTTCCAGAGAAAAAATACATCTCAAATATACAGAATAGTCTAAATTGATCTATTTTAACCAGCAAGGACAGCTAAAATGGGACACAATAATTGTAATATTAGTTTTAGGAAAGTTTTAATTGTATTAAGTATGCCATTGTGTTAAAAATTGAAGGGTCCAAGGGAAAAACATGATAAGCACCAATTTACTAATTTTATAGGAGAGCTGGTGGTTATTATCAGGTTCTTTCCGTGTATTCTACAGAGTTGTTCACCACTTATGACACGGAGTATTGTAACTAACCGATTAGATTTTTGCAAATTGTCAGTTTTGGGTTTGTTGAAGGACTATTAGAGCTAGAATTTAAAAATATTTTTACAGGATACAGAGTGTGCCAAATAAATAAAAAAATATCAAAGTTGATTTTTTTAAATGGAATACCCTGTATAGGATCACATTTTTAGTGTCTACGATTAAAATAAAGATAAATTTGATTAAGTTTCATCACATTTAAACCTTACCGTTTTTGAAATATTTTCAATTTTGTGAAATTGAAGTAAAAATTCTATGGCTTCATTTCTCCAAGGGTATCAAAGTTTTTAATACTAAATATTTACTGTAGTTTAGTTATTGATCAGTTATTGTGTTGCAATAATGAAAATAATACTACCTCATACAGAGTGATTAAAAATTTATTTTAAATAATTTCTAGCTTTAAACGGCAATAACTTGTTTACCTTTTTACCGATCCCTTCAAGTTTTGCCAGAAAATGAATGTTCTTATAATTTAGACCTCATTTATCAATATACCCATGGAATATTGACATTTTAGATTGTTTTTAAAGCAACAAATGTACAAAATGTACAGGAAAAAAACACACACAAAAAATTCAAAAAAGCACTTGGAAGAAAATGATAATAAATCGAATTTAACACCCTGTAGCTTAATTTATTACTTTTTCAACATTTCAAACTACATTTTTTTAAACAAATCCTTCAATTTTTACACACACAATTTTTTTTAACAAAAATAGTAGCCCTAAAAATTAAAAAAGTCAAGGTATGTAAAAAGTGGAACAAAATACAACGATAATTCATTGAATTGGTGTAAAAAAAATCAGGGGGTGATAGTACTCCTAAAAATAGTAAAAAAAGTTCCTATAAGTATATGGCGGAAAATGCATATTAAGGGAGTTTGTTTTAAAAATAATGAAATTTTGATTTTCCAATTAATTATTTAATAACTACTTGGTTACTTTTGAACCGCCATAACTTGCATAAGTTTATGTTGATTAACCAGTTAGCAACCCATCAGAGCAAACCCCCTTTTCTATAGGAGTTAGACGAAAACTAATATCGGTGTCTGGAGCTCAATTTTCATCAAAAACATGATGGTGAAAACCGCACATCAATATCTTTTACCGTTTCGGAGTTACGGGGTGTTTTTCAAAAATGTGCATTTTTAACAAATCGCTGTAACTTTTTTACTATGGAAAATTTTGTATTTCTATGAAGACATTTCCAAAGCACCTTTTTACGTAGAATTTAATGGTTTAAGTATATTTTTTTTTAAATTAATAATTTAAGAGTTATCAACAGAAAAATTGATTTTTTATTTGGAACACCCTCTACACATGTAATTTAAAATTACCTTTCCAAAAATATAGCACACTTGATATTTTGTTATAATCCCCTTCGAAATACAGAATTTTTAAAAGTTCGCCACTTTTAACTAGTAGGCTTTGGCCCCTTATTGATGATATGCCCTTAATGGAACTCGAAAACATATTTCTCCAGCAAGACGACGCACCGCCTCTGAACGCTGACGTTATCAGCAAATTTTTGCAGCAAATTTCAAGAATAATTGAATAACTAACTAAGATCCCAGCCGTTGGCCGTCGAGGCCGCCTGACAGGGCCGTATCTAGACCAAAATTTCGGGGGGTTGGTTTGGGGGGTTACAAAACTGCTAGAAAAAAGCATAATAAAAAAATCGCTTTGGGCAACACTCAAATCTTAATTGGAAATAAAATTTTAAAAAAGTAACAGGTAAAAATTATTAATCTTAAAGGATAAACTGGTCTTTTCCCAGGAAAAACGATTGACTACCTCTTCGATATCGATATTTATTTCTCAATGTACGCTTAATAGAGCAAGTCCTGTCAATCGCTCCTGACCTGTAGAGTTACGTAGGAAGTCCATCAATCGTCTTATGCCGCAACCGCACATGCGGCATTTAGCGAACTCCGAGCGCTCATCAACTACCGAACGCTCGTGATCGGACTTCGCCTTTCCATCCATACATGCGGGCTTTGATAGCAACAACATAGAGACGAGCGCTCGTTCTCGTCGCCGAACTCCGACTTCCTCATCCACACACATAGGAAATCGGCGAAGCCCCGATCGGAGATCGCCGAATAC